AGATATTCCTTTCTGGAGAAACGAAGCGGGTACCAAGAGGCAGATTAGCTTTGCTCTGTTGTCTTGCTATGGTTTTGCTGACACGACTTACCCAATCTTTAAAAACAAAGTGTCATGCGTGTCGGTGTATTAAATATGGGCTTAGTTAAGGTACCCCTGCCCGTACGGGCCAGTCTTGACAGACTCTAGGGTTGTGCGCCCATCTCACTCAAGAGGCCGGGGGCCAGCGCTGTCCGGAGACACTTCCGGGTCACGTGGCCAGCGTGACAAAGCTGCATCTGGCGAGCCAGAGCCGCACACGGAAACGCCGTTTACCTTCCCGCTAGTAAGCGGTCCCTATTTATCTACTTGCACCCGGGGGTGCTTTCGAACTGCTAGGTTGGCAGGCATGGGCTTAGTTAATGTGTGACAAAATGCTAAACAAAACCTCTTTCCTGCACGTTATATTGATTGTAAGGTATCAGCTGCAGGTGGGGATCTTGTAGGACTTTGTGACATTACAACTGACTCTGGCTAACCAGTTTGTCATTTTCATCTTGTTGGCTAGAATAATCTTATATTGCCTTGTGCTTGTAATGAAGCCTTGCTCCACGTACCAGATTTCAAAGCCTTGCTCCATGTACCAGATTTTGAGGAGCTTGTGGATGAGATGCTCGCAACAGATTCTCCCCCTTTCCCCAAGTGCTTCCTCCTCCTCCTCCTCCTCCTCCTATTGCCAATACTCATTTGCTTGCCCTCCCTCTAGTCCTGAATCTACACTACTGTATTTTTCACTCTATAAGACACCCTTCCCCCCTCCTAAAAAGTAAGGGGAAATGTTTGTGCGTCTTACAGAGTGAATGCAGGCTGCGCAGCTATTGCTGAAGCCAGAAGAGCAAGAGGGATCGGTGTGCAGTGATCCCTCTTGCTCTCCTGGCTTCAGCGATAGCCACGCAAAGCCTCTTGAGTGCAGCCAGAGCACTCCTGACTCTTCGCTCAAGAGGCTTTGCATTGCTTTCTTGTTTTCCTCCTCTAAAAACTAGGTGCGTCTTATGTTCGGCTGCGTCTTATAGAGCAAAAAATACGGTATATCCCCAAGGGAGAGAATAAAGCTGCAGTTACTGTTCCTCCTTTCCCCCTCTGCTCACGGTTTACTTGCATGGAAAGAGCAGGCAGAGAAGACAGCAACAACAAGGAGGGGGAGCAGGGCCAGGGGACTCTAGGGATTGGCAACAGGCCCCAGTTTAGACCTGGACATGGCAAGTCTCCAATAGTGCCAACCTCTGATGCCAGTTTTTGTTGACCCCTAACAGTACATGCATCAGCCTGAGAAGTACGGTGACCAATTCTGCATTGCCAAAAGACAGGGTGCACATTTGCATTAAAATTTAACTGCTAATTGAAATTGTTGTTGTTTAGTCGTGTCCGACTCTTCGTGACCCCCTGGACCAGAGCACGCCAGGCACTCCTGTCTTCCACTGCCTCCCGCAGTTTGGTCAAACTCATGCTGGTAGCTTCCAGAACAGTGTCCAACCATCTTGCCCTCTGTCATCCCCTTCTTCTTGTGCCCTCCATCTTTCCCAACATCAGGGTCTTTTCCAGGGAGTCTTCTCTTCTCATGAGGTGGCCAAAGTATTGGAGCCTCAGCTTCAGGATCTGTCCTTCCAGTGAGCACTCAGGGCTGATTTCCTTCAGAATGGAGAGGTTTGATCTTCTTGCAGTCCATGGGACTCTCAAAGGTCTCCTCCAGCACCATAATTCAAAAGCATCAGTTCTTCGGCGATCAACCTTCTTTATGGTCCAGCTCTCACTTCCATACAACACTACCGGATCCGGCCCAATCGCCTTCTAAATCTGGCCCGCGGAAGGTCTGGGAATCAGCATGTTTTTACATGAGTAGAATGTGTCCTTTTATTTAAAATGCATCTCTGGGTTGTTTGTGGGGCCTGCCTGGTGTTATTACATGAGTAGAATGTGTGCTTTTATATATAATGCATCTCTGGGTTATTTGTGGGGCATAGGAGTTCGTTCATTTCCCCCCAAAAAAATATAGTCCGGCCCCACAGTGGGGACAGTGGACTGGCCCCCTGCTGAAAAAGTTTGCTGTCCCCTGCTTAACACAATGCAATGTAAGAGATAAAAAAAAGCAGTCAAAATGCAATTAAAACCAATATGCCTATTTTACATGGACACGGCACAGACCACCTAAATGAAGCTTATAGGCCACTGGTTGTCCACGAACCGCAGTTTGAGAAGCTCTGCTGTAAGGTATGGATAAAGAAGCAGCATTCCACTTCTGCATCTGCATGGGGAAAGCGTGGCACTTCTTGCACTGCCAATCATAACCGCAACCATTTCAATTCAAAACTATGGACAACAGTGGACAGTATCCTCTCTGCTAGGCATGGCAAGCTCTGTCTGACAAGACTGTTGTGCGGTGGAAATGTACGGCAGCATTGCATGAAATGGAGTGATTTGAAGGGAGAAGCGTGCCAAAGTACATCGGCCAGCTTTTGTCATCTCTAGAATTAACCTTGGTTCACTGGTACCAAGCAAGGATGTCCTCCTGCCCTTCATAATTATTTGCATCCAGCTGGAATCTACTTTAAGAGGAATAGCACATTACAGGTCAATGTCAGTGTGCAGACCAGACACAGAGCAGTTAGCCCACGAAGGCAGCCTACTACTCTGTTCCATTTTATTCTTTGTATTTTATCCAACAATACTCAAGTCCTTACCAGATATTTCCCCCCCTCTACTAAATATAACTTTGTTTCAAACACTTTTGTTGGGCAAATTACATTAGGGTGGATGGCGCAGGTATCCATTAGAGTTTATTTATCGTGATACAGTTTAGATCTCACGCTTATAAATAACTTATGTTATGGGGCTTTTGTTTGTAGAAATGTAACTTACATATTTTATTACGCTTTTCTGTAAACCTCAAAAAGAATGTTGTCAAAGCAGCACTCTTAAACTAAGGTACATAAAATCTGCACCACCATTATTTTTTAATACGGCAAGGAAGCATGCTATTTCTCGATAGTTTGAAAGGTTTGCTGTCACCATAAACACACACCACAATAAAACATTAAAAAGTCGGAGGAATTATTTTATGAAGTGCATAGGCACCACAAACTGCATTCCTCCAAAGCATTCTTATGTAAGAGGAAACAGACTATTTTTCTAAGAGAGCTAGATCTGCCTTTCTCCTTCTCTCCCCACACCTCTCATTTTTTTTTTTTTTAAGTCAAGCAACACAGCCTTCGCTGGGCTACAAAGCAATACACACTTGTTTACTTCTCTGTGTAAAAGCCTGGTAGATGCTTGGTTTCATCTCGTGGCTATACAATGCTTTAGTGGGACGAATCAAACTGAAAATCCTAATTTGTTAAATTTATAGCTGCAATTTAAACTCCCACGTACTCAATTCAGAGGAAACTACTATTGCCTACTTCTCGGATGCTTTTAGAATATTCCCCATCCCAATTATTTCCCCTCTATTATGTTCATGCCTGGCCCATAAGCTATGGAGAAAACAGGGCACAGGAAAGAGAACTACGTAAAGTAGGGCAATTAAGAACACTTGAGGGAGGGGTGTTATTGCACAGATAAAAAACCCATTTAAAGGATTAAATTCTGGACTTAACTAATTTTGGCAGGGTTCCTTGGAACAACGGATAGATTTAACAACAGCAGCTGGAACCGTAAAAACCCAAGGCCAAGTGCTATGGCACCCATTTCCATATCTAAAAGCGGGCCGGTTCATATGTCCATGTATTCCAATAAGTTCCAGCTCTTAATGGTGGTTGAGAAGCTGTTCAAAATATGTGTATCAAGTTTCAGGAGTGATCTTATTTATCTGGAAGTCTTGTATTAAACGTGAATCTCGGCGTTGGATTTATATGCTCCCGGGAGCCTGAAGCCATATACGAGGAAGCAGCACTAAATCCAGAGTGCTCAGTCACAAGGGTTCTCAAGTCCAGCTTTCTAGAGAAGCTGGTTCAGACCCCCCCCCAAAAAAAAAAGACTGATCTGAGGACACAGACAGATTGCACCCAAAGAGCATTTCCTCCCACGGCATGACAAAGGAAGCCACAGTTAAGGGAAAGTTAGTTTGGATCTCAGCCTTTCAATGCGGAGGTACAGGTTTTCAAGCTAATGAATTTGGCTTTGCGTGGAAGTCAGGTGTTGTTTACAGGGATGGAGAAAGAAAAAAGCACCTTGGACTGGAGCGCCTCGCCTCTTGAAACAAATAATTTGACGGAATGACAGTTCCTTGCTTTTTTCGAAGGCTGAAGTGAGTTACGAGTGACAAGTCTCTGATCCTGTATCAACAGCAGGAACAAAATGCCAACTTTAAACAAAATGTAATCTGGGCACCCACATGAAACAGACCAAGGCAAACCACAGGTTCATCTAGCCATTCTCCAAAGTATCTGGAAGGGCTTTTTCCCAGCCTTGCTACGAGAGTCTGAGCCTAAATGATTGCAGGTTCAAGATTTTGAAAGGTGCACCGTTGCCCGTATCCTATGTGGGATGCTGCCTGAATCAGGAGTCAGAGGACCAGAGAAAAAACCATTCCAGCACCAAGCGTACTCATTTGCTCACATTCCCCCAGTGTTGATACTGAGTACTGGCAACAGTTCCTTGCATAGAACCCCAATCCCAATAAAAGTGGATTCCCTGTGCCCCATGGACCACTGGTGAGCAGGGCTAACTTCCAGGGTTCTCCTACTTGATGTAAGTAGGGCCATTTAAGATGAATATGCCCTTTAGGTGCTGTGACAGGAGCAGTCCATTTCTTTAAAAATATTAAAATTCATTTTAATCCTACGCACAATTACAGGCAATCCTATACACAATTACCTGAAAGTAAGCCCAAATGAAAACAACAGGACTTTCTTCTGTGTAGACCTGTGTAGGATTGTACTGGTAATTCTTGCGCAAGTAATACTTTAGCAGTCAAAACACAAACTAAAGCTCTGTATTTTGTCCTAGAATGAAACATTCAAAATACGTGAGTGTGAAACGAACATTTATTCATTCTCAATTAAAGAATGGATCATCACCTGTAAGCTTCAAAAAGTACCACTTTCTTACTTTAATCCAGAATTGTTAATTTGCATTCTGCCAATCTTCTGCTTGTCAACAGTGCACTTAAGACATAAAGCTTTTAAAAAAATCTACATATCTACATATAGCCATATTGTTTACAAATTATGCTTTCTGTTACTCAGTTTAGATGAAGCTATGAGAGAAATAGATATGACATCGCTGTTTTTTTAAACTCTCTGATATTGGTCTAATCGCGGAACTGAAATTTCCCAGCAATGCAATTTCAGAAAGAAAATACACATTTTATTTTGTTCTTTGGTTAGATATTGTTTCTGCACCATTTAATTGTGAAAGGGGATAAGAAGTCTGGATACGGAAGTTCAAAATGGTTCTTAATGCCAAGTGTGATTTTTACATTGTTTCCAGTGTTACAAATCCTTACATTTATGCCAAAGATATAAAAAGGCAGAAGTTATTTAAAAAAATATTTTCTATTAAAGTCAAACCCTATCTAACAATATTGTGGTTCCCCAACCTTCAAAGTCTGTTCATTTATCAAACATCTTCCAAGTTCAGCATCAACTCATCATTTCTGAACTGCTCGATTCTGACGCCCCCTCGCAGCGCAGGGTTTCAGCCATGTCTCTGCGGAAGACGGACATATTCTGTGTGAATCTGGAACCAAGAAGGCACCAAACATGTTAAATGTCATTTCGGACTAAGCATTTAGAAAAGGCTGCTAAGAATTCTGAAAACAAAACCAGTCCTTTGTTAGAATTGAATTGCTATTGTCAGAAATTAACTCCCACAGCTGCAAGAAATCCTACAAATAAAATAACACCTTTAAAAAATTTTAACAGATGATGATTATATTTGGATTATTTTAGTCCTTATTTGAGCTGGAAAGGAAAGCCCCCAAAGCATGTGAAGGTCAAAATTAAGGCATAGCTAAAACCTGAAAAAGTCTGGTTAGTCAATGCAGATGAACTTTCCTTCTCTATTTAGCGGTGAGAGTGGAATAATTTATGCATATGAACAGTGATGCCTCTTTCAAACCATTATCAATTCTCTGAAAAGACTATAATTAGCCATGATTATACCTTGGGTTTAGATTTCCACCAATGTTGTTTTGAAAATGAGAAGCAAACTTTTAAATCCATCCCTCTGATTTGCCCAAGGGTGAGAACCTTTTCTGTGTGGTTAATGATTTTGGTGTATTAGTTGGAGGCCTGTTCTTTGAGCCTTACAGATCCCTGCCTTACAAACAGCTCCAGACAGGTTTGGAATTGCAACAAGCCCAAATATTTAGGGTGAAGACGCAGTCACTCTCTGTTTAGTCTACCCCATAAGAATGCTGTGAAGGTAAAACGGGGAAAAGTAACAAAAATGGATAAAAAGAACAATAAAGATCATGTACATCTAAAATATAATTATTAGATGCTATTAAACTGCCCACAAGGTAGCAGTTATAATGCAGCACAGTGGAGCAGATCAGCACATATTTGGGGCAGATTTCTCTACACTAATTCAAGCCTCAAGCTAACAAATGGGGAATTCAAATGGGTCCTACAAGCCTTTATGACAGGAAAAAAAAGAAAAATTCTCCAACACTGGAAGGAAAGTTTTTCACCAGCCGTTGCACAAAGGGCTTTCCATATTAGACTGTGCAGCCTATCATAGGCCAGAGCTTCTAAATAAATATTTGGGCATTTGGTCTGCAGATACTGAGCTTTATACCTTTGGGCATAGTAGTTGTGTTGAGAATAACCAAATCTTTGTACCTGAAGCATTGCTGGGAGCTGTAATTGTACCTTGGCATTGGGGTGGGGAGCACATTGCATTCAGTGACTTTTAAATTTGCCCCCAAATGCAAACCCCACTGGGATTAGCTACTTTATGGAGGGCGATTTCTCACTGCTGAAAGTTGCCGCCAATCAGTTGAATTCCTTGCAGGTCCTGCCAGTGGCTGCAAAATAGCTCACCTGAGGTCATGCACACATCCGGTGACTGACAGATGGGAAGCCCCCATCGAACTGTCAAAGCGGCATGTGGGAGGTGAGGAGACAAAGGACCAGGCCCACTGGACCCAACCCCGTGTTCTTGCTGGGATTATGGAAGTGAGAGCTGTACCATAAAGAAGGCTGATCGCCGAAGAATTGATGCTTTTGAATTATGGTGCTGGAGGAGACTCTTGAGAGTCCCATGGACTGCAAGAAGATCAAACCTCTCCATTCTGAAGGAAATCAGCCCTGAGTGCTCACTGGAAGGACAGATCCTGAAGCTGAGGCTCCAATACTTTGGCCACCTCATGAGAAGAGAAGACTCCCTGGAAAAGACCCTGATGTTGGGAAAGATGGAGGGCACAAGGAGAAGGGGACGACAGAGGACAAGATGGTTGGACAGTGTTCTCGAAGCTACCAGCATGTGTTTGACCAAACTGCAGGAGGCAGTGGAAGACAGGAGTGCCTGGCGTGCTCTGGTCCATGGGGTTACAAAGAGTCAGACACGACTAAACAACAACAACACTGTGGTGAGAAGCAGACACACAAAAGCCGTAAATCATGCCACTTCTGGGGCAACATCATGGATTTTATCCTTAGTCCTATGTTCATGGCTTTCTGAACCCACCAACTCTAACAATAAATCTTGTTCCTGTGTAATGGCTCGGCTACATGTTCCCTATTGCCTTGGCACAAGATGACATTTCCATACATATACATGCACACACTGCTGTCTGAGCGACTGTGCATTTATGGTGTGTAACATACTTATCTGGAAAATCCCCTATTTTAAGGTTATTTTATAAGTCACAGATTTTTCAGATTCTTTTCTCTATGTCAGGATATAGTGAAGCTTACCTGTCTCTGTTCTTTACTAGAAGGCTTTGTTCCACTCCTTCCATTAGGTTGCTAAAGCACTGATGAAGGACTTCTTGTTTGTTGGCAGGCTGGCTGTTTATCAAGCTGGCTCTTAATTCACTGAAGTACTGAAAAAAGAAAGAAGAAATAGTTATTAAAATGATGGAATGTAGCATATGGCTGAGTTTACAGGATCAAACTTTCTATTTATTCATTTAGTGCTAGTATCTCTCTCTGTGTGTAAGTGTTTGTATATATATATATATATTTCAATAAAATATTATATATATATATGCGCAATAATGTACTGTGGAGTACAGTTTTTTTGTAATGTAAAACTGACAGCATATAATGCCAAAGCATAGTAAGATACCAAACCTCTCCATAACGTGTGGAAGATTTATTAACATTCAAAATGAACAGGAATCAGGCTGCATTCAACTTTTTTTTTAAATCACCTCTTACCACCCTGCTGTGCCGCATTAATCATTCTGTTAATGCTATCCTAACAAGCCAACTTTGTAGGGAAAGACCAGATCCAGCTTTCCATTTAGCAGCAATTTCCATCCTTGAAGCAGCCAACAAAAAGGCTACAAAGTTCCTGGTGTATAGAGGACTGAATTTTCAAACTCCAATAATAAGTGAGCTCCATCTTGGGAATATGAATATCTAGTTCCAGCTACAGTTTGGAATGAGGCACTTGATCATTGGAAGGTGTTTCAGGGCTCTTTAGCCCAGCCTAATAAGCTGAGGCATCCTTAAATACTTCTCACACACTCTACATCAAGACAAGAGCAAGACACAAGCAAAACCCACGTGGGTCCACTGTACCCCAGAGCCAAGTGAAGGCAAGAAGGAACAAGATTATTGTAACACAGATGCCATTGACCAGAAGATGCTAGTTGTGTTTACATCCAATTGAAAGCAATAGGACAATTAAACATGGCTGGGATAAGTTCAGCATGACTAATTATATTGGGACTGTGAATATTTGCTGTTACAGATATGGGAACAAAGGCCAGGACTAAGCAATGTAATTTAGTCTTCCTATAAGGAGTCGAGGCAACCCATAGTTGGTGAAGGAAAAACTTATTTTTCTTATCTTGGTTAACATTTTAAGCACTGAGATTAGTTTAAAAATTCCCCATAAGGGCTCCTTTTCTTACAACTGCTTGGTCCTCACTGTGAATTTTAAGTTCAGTTGGGCCCTTTAAAAAACCAGTAGATCTTTTGAAAGAGGGACAGTTGTTGATGTAACCCAAAAGGCCAACCTTCCTAATGGTTTTTGTTGGCATCCGTCTGTTTTGAGACACCAACCCTCATAATAATCCTCTGCTATTCGCACTTTTCAAGGGAGGCAACAGAGATGTTATCTTGCCACAAATACCCCTTCTCTTATCTGCCTTTAAAGGACTGTGTAACGTGCCACAGTGCAATCTTGAGACCCAAAGTACGAACTAGATCAATTTCACTAAGTGTAGCTGTCAGGGAACTGACATAGGAGCAAGATAGAGAGGTGAGGCTCTCCAATGATGCCGGAGAAGGAACCAGTACAGGAGGAGAGAGGGCTCCCGCGGGGGAAGGAAAATCAGGTGACACCAGGAAGAAAGGAGGGTTGGAGAGCACCTCGGAGGGGAGGCTCCGAGACTCTTCAAGTGAGGTCAGTGAGGAGAGTGGAGGACCATCGATAGGCACACCCACTCTGCGCAGAAGGCTGCCGCGCAGAGAGGCGAGAAGGAGGCTGTCCGTTAAGGAATTTTTATGTTGGAAGAAGTTTAGGAAACGCCCACTGACGGATTCTGCCAGCGACTGAAGCAGTCATGCCCAAGGGGGGCTGCTCAGCCGGGGAAAACGCAACCGCCTCACGCAGTTTGGAGCAGGTGGAGGTTACACACAAGCAACCCCAATTCCCATGATAGTAGCAAACACCCACACCCACCCACTGCGTAGTACTGGGTGCTCCCCGCTAATGTGCTAAAAAAAACCAATGAAACTCTTCATCAATGAATCTTGAGAGGTTAAACCTTGTTGTAGTGGGTTCTACTGGACTAGGACTAGGTCTGGGAAGTTGAACCTAGAGTAGCTCACTGGCTGACCCTTGTCCCATCATTCCCTTTTAGCCAACCAACCTCACAGGGTTGTTGTGATGACAAAGTGAAGGATTGGACCACGTACACTTCACTGAACACCTCGGAGAAAGAGAGGTAAAAATAAATTACACTGATGATAAGCATCATGCAATGGCAGGCTTGGAAACACTGATAGAACCAGCCTGCGCATGTTTACTCAGATGTGTTCAATGGGGCCTACTCTCAAGACAGAATTGCCACGCCAGATTGCATCCAAATTGGTGTTGGAACCGTGAACTGAAACAAACCACTGCTCATTCGCTATATTGCTGGCTTCTCAGAAACCAGAGCAGCAAATGTTACGGATACTCGAAGCGCACAGAATATTTGCTGTTTTGTATCCTTTATATAAAAATATTTCCCAATAAACCTATTAAAAAAACCCACCCACCCCAGTACCTGCCTCCTTAATGCAGACGAGTCCTTAATACAGAAGACCTACTGATAAATAATGACACGCATATATACATTCCACGGCTAACCAAGCTCCATGATCATTAGAATGCAATATTGTTCCAGAAGAAAGAAAATGGTGCTAGCCCCATATTTCTTACTATTCATGATTGCATGGCTATATCTCCTTGTGAAATATTTAATTCCTTCTTACACTAAAGCTGCTAAAATCAAAACCACATAATTAATATAGAGTCAGGCTAATATTTAATACTATAAATCAGAGGCATTGGCTAAACAAAAATGTTGCCAAGAACAAGATTGGGAATGCACAAGACTACTTATTTCCGCCTTTTATAATGGTGCACTGACTCAGGGCAGATAGAAAATGATTAGTTTTACTCCCAAAGTAGGAAATATTGCTTCCATCTGTAAAGGATAATATTGTGATGTCATAAACTTTTTCTAAACACTGAATTTGCCCTTATCCCCTCTCAATCATTTTAAAAGAACTGCTCCTCGTATGGAGGTTGGATTTAAATCACAATAATACACCAAGAAGATGAATGACAGTGCTATTGGATATGGTTAAAATTGGATCCTTCAGCACAGGTGAATGATGAGACGGCGCTTCTATACTTGATATATTTTCTTCTTCTATTAGTTTCCTACCAGGGCTGGGATTTCGGTTTGAATTTTAATGTATGCGGCGGCTGCTAATCTTAGTGTCTTATTTTTTCCCAGCACCATCTTATTGTATAGACAATTCATTCTCCAAAGCAGTAATGCACTGCCACTTGTGACTGCCCAGGAGATAAATGAATTTGGAATAAAGTCAGAACGCGCACAGAAGTATGGAGAACGTTACAGGTCAATATCTCCAGGAACAATCCCTCAGTATCTGCAGCAAGCCTGTATATGTTCAGACGGGTTTGCATGGCTATACAGAAATGGTTTCCTTTTCAGCTGGGTACCTGACCTTAGCCTCAAGTCCAGACCCAAATTTGCATGCAAAAACCCTACAGGGGGTGACTTGTCTGAAAAAATGACTCCTTTGTCCACCACAAAGCCTGGCGGTGAATATCAATGATGTTCTTTGAGAGGCACTGGGTGCAACCACACATTTTGGGCTGTGCTTGCACACCAACATAATGAAATACTCTTGAAAACTTTTGAGAAGGAGGAGGGCTCCCCTCACCCCCAAATTCTCCTCTGCTGCTTCAACAGATGTATCAGTGGAGGAGCAGGCACTGCATGTGAACCCTCTCCTTCAACAGTGATAGAAGGAGGGCAGAGTCCAGGGATGGGGAACCTGGGGCTCTCCATTGTTGGACTCCAGCTCCCATAGCCCCAGCCAGCATGGTCAATGGTCAGGGGTGATGGGATTTCCCTCCTTCCCACTGGTCTAGAAACACAAATCAATTGGTTGTGAGCTAAAGGTTTGAATTCCGGTGACGGGGTGAGCTCCTGCTGCTCTGTCCCAGCTCCTGCCAACCTAGCAGTTCAAAAGCACACCAGTGCAAGTAGATAAATAGGTACCGCTCCAGTGGGAAGGCAAACGGTGTTTCCATGCGCTCTGGCTTCTGTCATGGTGTTCCACTGCGCCAGAAACAGTTTAGTCATGCTGGCCACATGACCCGGAAATCTGTCTGTGGACAAACGCCGGCTCCCTCGGCCTGAAAGTGAAATGAGCGCCACAACCCCATAGTCACCTTTGACTGGACTTAACCGTCCAGGGGTTCTTTGCCTTTACCTCACAAAATGAAAGAATCTGCAGAGGGGGTTGTGGGGCATCATTATCTAGTCTCAACCCCCCATACTCCTGTATGCCACCATGCATTTAAGGGAGAATGTCCTAAATTAGGCTGCTGAGGTTGACCAGGGCTAGAGACATGAGCTACATAATGGTTTGGGAATGTAGAGGAGATTCATTTTTGTTATGCAAAGAATATAGGGTTTCTTTTTGCAATATGAAGTGTCTCCAAACACCTCTGCCTGATCCAAGAGACTTATCAGCAATGGACTGTGAAAAGCAGCCTGTCAATACCAACACTGACTTGTCTCATTTTTAATCTAAATGAATGCCCTAGTTCTGGAATACTTACTTTCTCATTGAGAAGTATAAGGCCCAAGAGGGGTCTCGAGACTGACCACTGGTTTCTGCAGTCCTCAAAAATTATGGTGTTCATGAGAATTGACATCATCTGAAAAGAAAGAAAATGACCAAAAGTGTAATTAGTGAATATACCACCGTGCATGACTAATCACAGCTCCAAAATAAATGAACAGAATAAATAGAATTTCAAGTATTGCAGAAGTTACTTTTGACATGGCATGGGTATTTTAACCAGACAAGCTATTTTTTAAATACAAATTAACTTATGCAATATACTAATTATTTCCTTTGATTCCCAAATAGCAACCTCATCCGTAGCTTATTATAAAAACAGCAGAAGGGGGAAGAGGAGAGAAAACAGAAGAAAAAAAATTAAGGGTAGACTTGTGTCCACCTGTTTTGAATGCAGACCTTAATGCAAACTTGTCAAACCCCTCGCTTGATGGAGATAATCTAGAGCCTCTGGACAGCTACTGATTGAAGACCTCCGATGAGGGAGAGAGCATCACCCCTTTAGGTTAGAGTTTCCCAAACTTGGATCTCCAGTTGTTTTGGGACTACAACTCCCATCATCCCTAGCTAGCAGGACCAGTGCTCAGGGATGATGGGAATTGTAGTCCAAAAACCTCTAGGTAATTGGTTTCACTGTCAAACTGATCTTCTTATCAAGAAATGTCTCCTGATGTTCAACTGAAACCTATCCTGCTGTAACTAAAGATAATTAGATCTAGTTCTGCCCTCTGGGGCAGCAGCAGGTTTTATTTATTTATTAAAAATTTCAATTCCACCAATAAGGTAAGGAATGAAATATAACAATAGATATTATAAAGGAGAAAGGGGAAGGAAAACAAAGAGAAATTTACATAGTGGCAGAATGCTAAATTAAGGGAAGAGTTTCATGGGGGACATTTCCCATGAAAACACAGGATATTAATGAAATTCAAGTGTGCCATTATTGAGGATGCAAAGCCACAGAGCCGTATTTCCAAAAGCCGATTTCTGTAGTGAGATGGGAGGAATTTATGCTGGCCTTCAGATAATTGAGATGCTGCAGAGAGCTTCCTGGCCTCTTCTGAGAATGAACAATTTTTGTTTTGGGACACACTATTGTGAACTTTATAGATAGTGAAAAAATCAAAGTAAGCAAGACATTTCACAGTTTATAGTGTACCGAACATAAACATCAGGTATTGCCCAAGTAGTTTTAGAGTTCTACATTTGTAAAATTTGGTGAGGAAAAATTAGTCCATTGCTGTAACAAAATAACTAAAAAAATCATCATCCCAGCATCAAACACAAGGAAAATCCTTTGATTATTTTTTCAAAACCAACGAGTAGCAGTGAGGTGAGTCCCCCGAGACCTGACATACACTCCAAGCCAGATTGTAATAACTGCCCAAGAAAAAGTCAAACAACCTGTTTCACTAAATGAGATAATCCAGAACGAAGACATTGTCAAAGCTTCATCACTAGTAGTGTAATGGGGAGTACAAGCTAGGCCTCATTTCATTGTTGTCAGCACACATGGATGACTATTACTCAGGCATACGGGTTAAAAAGATGATTCAAAATGGGCTAGAAATCTAATCTATCTATTCATGCACACGTCCTCCTAAACTAGGCCTTTCTCAGCTTTGGGTTGGACTAAAATTCCCATCATCCCTAATTAGCACGGCCAGTGGTCAGGGATGATGGGAGTTGTAGTCCAACAACATCTGAGGAGTCAAGGTTGAGAAAGGCTGTCCTAAGAAAAAGAAGGTACCTTTTACCACATGTGGTGGACGTGTCCCAAGGTTAAAGACTTATGTGAAAAGATATATAATGAACGGGGGAAAATGTTGAAATATACATTTATTAAGAAACCAGAAGCCTTTCTACTTGGAATAATAGGAATGGAATTGCCCAAAAAAGATGTTATATTGTTTTTGTATGCCACAACTGCAGCGAGAATTTTACTAGCCAAAAATTGGAAATCACAAGAAATACCAACAGTGGAAGATTGGCAGATGAAGATGTTGGACTTTTTGGAGCTGGCTGACCTTACTGGAAGAATCCACGATCAGAAAGAGGAGGAACATTAAGAAGATTGGAAGAAATTTAAGGAATATATAGCTAAATATTATAATATAACGTAAGTGGAAATACTTGCAAGTACCAAATTGGACTAGGATTAAAGTATGTTGAGTTGTATAATACTATGGATTGAGAATATTATGAAAAGGAAGGAAGACAGTAATTTGAATAAGTTAATTTTATTAGAAAGTGGATATTGGAAAATTGCTACAATGTGATTTAATGAAACTCAGGGAGGATTCGAGGAAGTCACTTAACAATGGAAATCAAATTGGATTTTTAGTAGTAAGATTTATTTATTTTAATGTTTGTTTCTTCTTCTTTTCAATATGTGTTGTTATTTTGTGTGAGTTATATTTGTTATAAATTTGGAAAACTAATAAAAAAATTTGGAAAAAAAGAGAGAAAGGCTGTCCTAAACACCACCACCACCACAATGCTGTTCCATGGGAAACTAAAAGAATCTGCACATGATATCAAAATTACTGGACGTCGGAAGCTGGCTGACTGAAGTAGAGCGTATGCTTTGCAGGCCCAAGGGCCCATAACAGTTTCACTTAAAAAAATCTCTGACAGCAGATGTCAGAAAAGAACCCTGGTCTCCTTGATGGCAGTCAGAGAAGACAATGCTGGGTTTAATGATTTGGTTTAGGTCCCACAACTGCTTTCTGAGCAGAACATCCAATGTCTGCAGCATTAGATGAAGAAGAAGAAGAAGAGTTTGGATTTGATATCCCGCTTTATCACTACCCGAAGGAGTCTGAAAGCGGCTAACATTCTCCTTACCCTTCCTCCCCCACAACAAACACTCTGTGAGGTGAGTGGGGCTGAGAGACTTCGGAGAAGTGTGACTGGCCCAAGGTTACCCAGCAGCTGCATGTGGAGGAGCGGAGACGCAAACCCGGTTCCCCAGATTACAAGTCTACCGCTCTTAACCACTACACCACACTGGCTCCAACTCTTGCCAAATAACTTGCAAACTTGCCAAATAACTTGCAAATACAAAATGGTTCTGCATGAATACCTGGTACAACACGCACACAGACATCTAGTTTTGCCTGTGCTTTCCATCTCTACAATGGTCTGATGCAACAAGAGCATGGGTTGCACAGAAACTGCAATATACCTAGGAGAGGCGGAGAGTATAATGTACAAGATTTGTTTTGGGGAATTAAACTATATTGCTCTTTGTTAGAAGCTGAACGCAATGTTGCTGGCTGGTGGTCTTGGTGGCACAGATTCTGTGTGTCACTAAGTAGGCAAGATCTCATTTAAACAGCAACTATTTAAAGCAAGGCACATTTGGTGCAAGTTGGACCTAAGCCAGGTGGTTACTGAACTGGTTGGAAAGCTGCACCCAAAGCAGAGAGAAGGTGTTACTCCGGTGTGGTCTGCTGATGTTGGTGATGAAGTGACTGAAATGCTCATGAAAAATACAGATGTTACAATCTTAGAAAGAATAGCAATCAATGGAGAGGAGATGAATACAGTTTAAAACAACCCTGAAACAAAGTGGGACACTATCTTGTAGAAACAACACTCAATAAAGTCAAATGTAAAAAAACACACACCATTTTTGTGCTTTTAGCAAGGAGGGTTATTTTTAACATTTACATTTTGGTTATAATCTGCCACCTGGCTTTACACTGGGCTGCAAGGTGAAGTTCAATAGGACAAGGGAAAGGAAATAAAGCCTGTTTTAGTTTGCTTTCCGAAGTATTGTATGTAGGATGTGGGAGGTTAGGCCTCAGAAGGAGAGGAAACCATGTGCGTCATATCTAGTTTTGAACACAATATTTTATAAAAGGATACCCACACATTCAAAGGAATGCAACAATGATAAAGGGCTTTTGAACAACTCACAAGTGGGAAAGCTTGAAAGAAAAAGAACATTTGAATTTATTGCCTGTTCTCATTACACATGCATGATCGAGAGATAACACTTGCTCTCTGGACTGACAGTGGTTCCATAAAAAAAGTCACTTCCTCCAACATTTCTAGTAAAATAAACTTACACCTGAGCAATTTGATACAATGAAAGAAAAAGCTAAAAGTCATTAGCAGAAAACATAAGATATGCAAATAAAACATAGCAATTCCCTCCATACTGCAACCAAACAAATAGAAATCAAATGGGGCTTCTATTGCAGTATATTAATATTATATTTTATATTACAATTAAATTACAATTATTTCAGTTTAACATTATCAAATTGCTGTTTTTAAATCAAGGTATTCACAGCACTGATATAAATATCTCCCCTGGATGGTTTCATAACTCAATTCAATGCAGGGGTATGCAATCTCCTAAATGCCACGTCTTTTTACAACTGCGCAGAAGTTCCGTACATCAGTTTAACAGCAGCAGAATAAATTTAGAACAAAAATTATCACCTAGTCCAGAGCTCTGTGTGCATAATGCTAGCTGAAAGAGGAATTGTAAAAAGGTGTTGTACTATGTGCGGCTCCCATGTGTCCCCATGTGCATAGCAGAACCCAAAGCTCAGTGAGCCAACACATACGTTTTGCAGTAGGAGAAGAAGACAGCGAAGGCATGGTCTGGCTAGAACTGGGGAGAGTCAAAGGGGCAGGGCTTGTGTATTTCCTAAAGAGCTCTCCTATAGTAAAAGCTATGGTTTTCCCAGTAGTGATGTATGGAAGTGAGAGCTGGGCCATAAAGAAGGCTGATCGTCGAAGAATTGATGCTTTTGAATTATGGTGTTGGAGGAGACTCTTGAGAGTCCCATGGACTGCAAGAAGATCAAACCTATCTATTCTTAAGGAAATCAGCCCTGAGTGCTCACTGGAAGGACAGATTGTGAAGCTGAGGCTCCAATACTTTGGCCACCTCATGAGAAGAGAAGACTCCCTGGAAAAGACCCTGATGTTGGGAAAGATGGAGGGCACAAGGAGAAGGGGACGACAGAGGATGAGATGGTTGGACAGTGTTCTCGAAGCTACCAGCATGAGTTTGACCAAACTGCGGGAGGCAGTGGAAGACAGGAGTGCCTGGCA